TTCAACACAAACCCTCAGGTCAAGTCGAGCCTGGGGTGAGGTGCTTCAAGTCCTAAAAGAAAACAACCTCCAACCTAGACTGATGTATTCTGAAAAACTCTCTTTCAAAATGGATGGGGAAATAAGATGCATCCATGACAAAGAATACCTGAGAAAGTTCATGAATACCAAACCAGCACTCTAAAGAATTCTAAACAATATCCTAGAAAAAGAAAATGAAGGTCACAACACCATGAGGCCCAACAGACCAAATCAAACAGGAAAGGCAAGAAACTAAAAGAAGAGGGGGAAAGAGTAAAAAGCAACAACAAAATGACAATAACGTGACAATAAGTCAGTACATATCAGTTATAACCATCAAAGTCAATGGCCTCAATTCACCAATCAAGAGAAATAGACAGGCAGAATACATTAAGAAGCGAAATCCAACAATCTGTTGTATACAAGAAATATACCTAGTGCAAAAAGAAGCCCATAGACTGAAAGTGAAAGAATGGAAAACAATTCTCCATGCAACAGGAGCCCAGAAAAAATCAGGAGTAGCTATCTTATTCACAAAGTAAATTTCAAACCAAAACTGATTAAGAGAGACAAAGAAGGCCACTACATCCTTGTAAAGGGAACAATTCAAGAGGAAGAGATGACAATCATAAACATACATGCACTAAATATTAATGCCCCCAAGTATATAAAACAAATATTAAATAACATGAAACACCAAATAAGCACTAATACAATTGTAGTGGAGCATCTAAATACCCCACTATCACAAATAGAGTGATCATCTAGGAAAAAAATCAACAATGAAATGCTAGAACTGAACCAAGCTTTTGAACATAAGGACTTAATAGATGTCTATAGAGTGTTCCACCCCACAAAATCAAAATATACTTTCTTTTCAGCTGCACATGGGTAATTCTCCAAGATAGACCACATACTAGCTCATAGAACAGGTTTGAATAAATGCAAAGGAATCAAAGTTATCCCGTGTATTATGAGATCATAGTGCAATCAAGCTGGAGATCAATAGGATAAGAAACCATAGGAACTCCACAAACACATGGAAATTGAACAACACTCTCCTGAACAATCAATGGGTCATAGAGGAAATTAAAGAAGAAGTTAGACAATTTTTACAAGTAAATGATAATGCCAATACAACATACAGGAATCTATAGGACACAATGAAAGCAGTTCTATGTGGAAAATTCACAGCAGCGAATGCCCACACTAGGAAAACAGAGTGAGCCCAAATAAACAATCTGATGATGAATCTTAGCTCCTAACAAAAGAAGAGCAAGAAAAACCCAAAGTTCTTACAAAAGAGGAAATTATAAAGATTAGAGCAGAAATCAATGCAATGGAAACTAAGAAAATAATACAAAAAATAAATGAAACAAAGAGTTGGTTTGTTGAAAGAATAAATAAAATTGATAAACCCTTAGCTAACCTTATCAAAAAAAGGAAAGAAAAGGCTCAGATTCATGCAATTAGGAATGAAAAAGGTGAAGTCACAACAGATCAAACAGAAATCCAGAGGATTGCCAATACCTACTTTGAGAACCTGAAGTCTAATAAAACAGAAAACAAAGAAGAAATGGACAGATTTCCAGATACTTATGAACTATCAAAATTGAATGAACATAAAAAAAATTCTGAACACCCCAATTAGAATCAGTGAAATTAAAAATGTATTTAAAAGTTTGCCAACAAAGAAAAGCCCAGGTCCTGATGGATTCACTGCTGAATTCTACAAGACACTTAGAGAAGAACTACTGCCTTTACTCTTCAAACTTTTCAATGAAATTGAAAGGGAAGCAATACCTCTAAATTCATTCCTGGAAGCAAGTATTCCTTTGATTCCAAAACCAGGGAAAGACACAACTACAAAACGAACTACAGGCCAATCTCCTAACTGAATATAGATGAAAAAATCCTTAATAAGATACTAGCAAACAGAATACAGAGGATCATCAAGAAGATCATACATCCTGACCAAGTTGGATTTATAACAGGGATGCAAGGATGGGTCAACATACGGAAGGCAATACATGTAATATATTATATTAACAGAGTCAAGGACAAAAACCATATGATCCTATCGATAGAAGCAGAAAAAAACATTTAATAAAATTCAGCACCCATTCATGATAAAAAAAACTGCAAAAAATTTGGAATAGATGGCCTACATCTCAATTTAATAAAGGCTATCTATGAAAAACCAACAGCCATCATCATATTAAATGACCAAACACTGAAAATCTTCACATTAAAATCAGGAACAAGACAAGGATGCCCACTTTCACCACTCTTCTTCAATATAGTTCTGGAAATATTAGCCACTGCAATTAGACAAGAGAAAGCAACTAAAGCAATAAAGATAGGAAAGGAAGAAGTTAAACTGTCATTATTTGCTGATGATGTGATACTCTATGTTGAAGACCCAAAAAATTCCACCCAAAGACTTCTAGACTTAATTGACACTTTTAGAAGAGTAGCTGGATACAAGGTCAACATCCAAAAATCAAAAGCCTTTTTATACACAAATAACAGACTCGGAGAGAGAAATTAAGGAAACAATTCCTTTCACCACAGCACCCAAAAAATGAAGTATCTGGGAATCAATCTATCAAAAGAAGCAAAAGACCTCTACACTGAAACCTACAGCACTCTGAAAAAAGAGATCGAAGACAATATAAGAAAATGGAAAAATATCCCCTCCTCCTGGGTAGGAAGAATCAACATAGTGAAAATGGCCATACTACCAAAACTGCTATACAGATTCAATGCAATGCCCATTGAAATTCCAACACTATATTTCACAGAACTAGAAAGAAGAATCCAAAAATTCATTTGGAACCATAAGACACCTAGAATAGCAAAAGCCATCCTAGGCAACAGACACATGGCACCAGGTATAACAATTCACAATTTGAAACTGTACTATAAAGCCACTGTGATAAAAACGGCACGGTACTGGCAAAGAAACAGACCTGAAGACCAGTGGAACAGACTGGAAGACACAAAAACAACTCCAGATGTACTCAGCTACCTCATCTTTGACAAAGTTGCTGACCATCACCACTGGAGGAAAGATAGCCTCTTTAATAAATGGTGTTGGAAAAACTGGATCTCAACCTGCCCAAGATTAAAACTAGACCCTTATCTCTCACCATGCACTAAATTAAAATCCAAGCGAATTAAAGATCTAAATATCAAAACAGAAACACTAAACTTGCTGGAAGATATTGCTGGAAGAAGTTAGGCAAAACTCTGGAAGACATTGGCATAGGAAAAGACTTTATGAACAAGTCCTCAGTAGCATGGGAACTAGCAGAAAGAATCAACAACTGGGATTTCATCTTATTGAAAAGCTTCTGCATTGCAAAAGAAACCATCAACAGAACTAAGACACAATCTACAATGTGGGAAAAAAGTTTACCAGCTGCTCCTCAGACAAAGGACTATTATCTAGAATATATAAAGAACTCAAAACAATCAGCCCCCCCAATATATATAAAGACCCAATTCAAAAATGGGCATCTGAAATGAACAGACATTTCTCAGACAAAGAAGTAAAAGCAGCAAGTAAATATATGAAAAAATGTTCCACATCACTGGTCATTCAAGAGATGCAGATGAAAACAACCTGAGATTCCACCTCACCCCACAAAGAATGGCTGCTATCAAGAAGTCACACAATAACAAATGTTGGTGGAGTTGTGGGGAGAAAGGAAGCCTTCTCCACTGTTGGTGGGAGTGCAGACTGGTACAACCACTATGGAAATCAATATGGAGATACCTCAAAGAGCTTGGACTGGAGGTTCCATTTGACCCAGCCATCCCTCTGCTGGGTATGTTTCGAAAAGATTTAAAAGAATCATACCACAGAGATATATGTGAACCAATGTTTACAGCAACACAGTTTGTAATAGCTAAAACTTGGAAACAGCCCATCTGCCCATCAGTTGGAAACTGGACAAAGAAGATGTGGTTTTTCTATAAAATGGACTACTACTGAGCCATAAAGAATGAGAAATGAGATTCATTCATAGGAAAATGGATAAATATTGAGGATATATTCTTAAGTGAAATAAATAAATCACACATGTGTAAATACCGAATAGTTTCTCTGGTGTGAAAAACTATAATAGTACACAAGATCCTAATAGGATAATTAAGAGTGTGAAATAGGAAGAAAAGGGCTAAAGGTGTAGGGAAAGTGGGAAGGGTGGGGAAAGGAAATAATGGAAAAGAAAAAATATGAGAAATGAAAAAATGGAAATAAAGTGTTTGTAAATGGGGAGGGGAGGAGGGGGTGAAGGGAGGGCAGAGACAAGGGGAAAAAATGAGAACCAATAACTGTCATGTGAAGGTACAAGTTCCCAGTAATGAATGTAACTGTATTGTAGACCTAGATTGTACCAATAAACTCAATAAAAAGAAAAAAAAGTGGCATTTAAACTGAAACCTGAAGAATGAGTCAGAATGACCTAGTCAAAGAAAGTATGTATGAATCTATGTCTGTGCAAGTGGAACTCTTAATTCTTTGTACATACGTGCTCAATAAGAGTATAAGGTGAATATGTGAAAATTTAGATCAAAGAATGAGTGGATAAGCTATAAATTCAATGTGTGCTGCATATAAGGCTTGGGTAGATGTGTTTCATGAAAAGTCCAGAGCCACAACATATATTGCAGATGCCCAAAAGTGGTGCAGAGTAGGCACACAATAACATTTCTTGCAACAATGAACACGTGAAGACTTAAAGACCATGTTAAGGAGTCCAAACCATGTCCCAAGCACAATGGAAAGTAAACAGGAAGAGTGAGTCCACCTTAAGATACTTGCTTCTCCAAATTCTGGTAGAAATGTTCTCCAGTATTGACTCTCCTGGTAGGAACCTTTTTTCTGATATGCTAGAAACTCCCTTCCTCTCTTTGCCCCGCCTACTCCTTTTGCCAAGAACACTAAACAGGAAGAAGTATTTGCTCACAGATGCTGCCAGGACAGACATACTGAAGAAGGAAGGGCATGCCTGAGCAGGAACATATTCTCAAGAGACAGGGCCTGTGTCCACTATACCAAGCCTCAAACCCCTATCTGCAAGACATCCAAGCCTTCCAGCAAAAGAGGTGAGTCTGTCTGTCTCTCTGTCTGTCCTTCCCTGCCCAAACTGTTGGCCCGTATCCAAAGCCAAGACCTTAAAGGAAGCCTGATCAGTCTGTCTACTGCAGACATATTGAAAACTGAGGTTTCTATAACTGAAGTCAGTATGGCCAAGATTACAAACGAAAGTTCTTGGAAGTAAGTGTTGTTTAAACCTGAGAATTATTGAAATATAGAAGAAGATTTACTGAGGAGAGGGTGAAGGGAGGGCAGGGACAAGGGGTAAAAATGAGAATCAAGACCTATTATGTAAAGGTACAGAATCCCAATGATGAATGTAATTGTATTGTATACCTAGATTGTACCAATAAACTCAATAAAAAGAAAAATAAATTTAAAAAAAAAGATTTACTTATTAGATAGAGTTTAAAAGGCCACAAACTGGTGCCAGGTACCACAACAGCAACAGAACTTTGCTATTTTCTGGGTATTATTCTTCTCTTTGCTTTTTTGTTTTTGTTTTTTTAATGGAGTGTACTCAATGTCTATAATTTTGTTCAGATGACTGCAGAACATGGAAAAGCTGTTGCTGCTATTGATGCAAAGATTTACTTATTAGATAGAGTTTAAAAGGCCACAAACTGGTGCCAGGTACCACAACAGCAACAGAACTTTGCTATTTTCTGGGTATTATTCTTCTCTTTGCTTTTTTGTTTTTGTTTTTTTAATGGAGTGTACTCAATGTCTATAATTTTGTTCAGATGACTGCAGAACATGGAAAAGCTGTTGCTGCTATTGATGCATAACATACTGCTATTATTGGTCTTTTTATATAAATATAAATATATATACATATATATAATTTGAATTTTTGGAAACTTTAACATAATTTTACATCATTGCCTTTTCTCTTTTACTTTCCTTTTTAATTTTATTTTAGGATTCCCTATTTTTAATTTTCATTAACTGATTTCTTTAACTGAAATACCAAATAGTTTCTCTGTGAAAAACTATAACAGTACACAAGATCCTAATGAGATAATTAATAATGTGAAATAGGAAGTAAAGGGTTAAAGGTGTAGGGAAAGTGGGAAGGATGGGGGAAAGGTAATAAGGGAGAGGAAAAAAATATGAGAAAATGAAAAAATGGAAATAAAGTGTTTGTAAATGGGGAAGGGAGGGGGGGTGAAGGGAGGGCAGGGACAAGGGGAAAAATGAGAATCAAGACCTATTATGTAAAGGTACAGGATCCCAATAATGAATGTAACTGTATTGTATACCTAGATTGTACCAATAAACTCAATAAATTTTTTTTTAAAAAAAATAAATAAATAAAAGGCCACAAACATGGACAAGGCTAAACCTAGAACTAAATGAAGAATGAAGGATGGGCAGCAAGTCAGGTTCAAAAGCTCCCAGTCTTCACAAGTTCCCAACCATGCTCTGGGCACATCTGAGCTTTCTAAGCCTCCCTTCAGATCTGAGCAAAAGGCTGGGTTAAGTCCTGGTGGGGGAGGTGGCAGGTTTGTTCCAAGATTCTAATAATTTTGCTCTGATCCCCATAGGTTCCTGAATCCCTTTCATAATGAACTGGCACATGATAATCTCTGTGCTTATTGTAGTGGTGCTTAAAGCTGTTGGAGTGACCTTATTTCTGCTCTATTGTGAGTATCTGAGTGTTTGCTTAACCCAGCATCCCTATCATCTTGCTCCTTGACTCTTTCAAATCCAAAGTTACATATAAGGTTAAAGTCTCAAATTTTCCACCTAAGGGCAACTGATATAGCCCAAGAGCAATTGATCAATGCTCTTCTCTTTCTCCAGTACATGGGCCAGTTTCCTCATTCTACCTTGGAGAGGTAAAACTGACCAGAATCTGAGAGTTCAAACCCCACACACAGCTTTTGCTACTAGAGTATTTTTGGGTAATCTGAGCTGAAGTAGTTAGCAGGTCTTGTTATTGTTGCTAAAATTAAAAAATACAGCTCAATTTTAATTCAGTAGTAAGTCTGTGTTAAAGACTGAACTAGAAGTAGATAGGCTATAACCAAAGGAGAAATTTTGCTACATAGTCATATAAATTCATTTATTCAAATGAATTAATGAGGAAGAAAAAGCCTTATATCAAAGAATTTTGGGGAAATTCAACAAGTAGAATCCTCTCCAACCGCTGAAGCCAGTAAGTAATATAAATGAGGAAGGAAATGTGAGTGGGTCAGACTGGTTGGGTAAGAGGAAATATGAGTTTCAATAAGTGAAGACATTCCAAAAATATATACATATCCCTGCCCTGCTGCTCTGAGTCAGAGATCAGCGCTTCTCATTAGTAGTCACAGAGCCCCACTAATCCCTATGGATTTGCTTGTTCACCATGAAGCTGTATTTGGAACTCAGCAATAACTAATTTTCTTTCCAGTCCCACAGACTTTTTGGAAAAGTAATAATGGCATAAATCCTACTGGGAGCTACGGAACAGATAATGTGTATAATGGTAATCTCCTCTCTACCATCCAGCTTCTAGGGGCCTGCACTCTTAAGAGCCCTTCCTCAAGGCCTCCTTTCCCAAGGAACTTTTGTACAAAGGCATCATAAAGGTCTTTTAATAAATTATCTTCCAGAGATAACCAATACCAGAGTAAGTGAAAATTTCTCTTTTGCTGTGTTAGGGATAGAACCCAAACTCAGGATATCTTGCACAAAAGGTATACATCTGAGATGCACCCCCTGGTCCTGAGTGAAATTTCTGACCTTTCCTAGGCATGTGGGTGATTTGTGTGTAATTGCTGTAGTGTAATGTGAATGTACTTCAGAAAGTGATGCACACCTACAAGGAATGATTATAGAGAGACCAGGTGCCACAAAAAGAGGATCATGTTGTGATATTAACCATCATCTGTAAAGTGAAAGGCACAAGACCAGAAGTCAAGCAGGATATATAGATGAGTAAAACCCACCTGCTCTGGAAGAATTTTCCCAGACCCCACACTTCCTCTTAAAACACCTGTTACTACTGACACCTTTAAGAAATAAACCATTTGTCATTCATCTTTGTTTCAGCTGGGGCATCCAATATAATGAGATATATGAAGAAAATACTAAAGAAGCATATATTATGTCCATTATAATCCCAAAGTCCTTTCTGAGGAAAACCAGGCTACTATATATAAAAAAGGGCCTGTGAGCCAGACTGAGATAAAGTGCAAGCTAACATCTATCTAATTAATATAATTTTAAGCAGTCAGTAAACTAACATGTTTTCAACAATAATAGACAAATAACTGAGGTCACTGAGGAGAGAGCTGACCAGCCTCTGAAACTACTATAACTGTCTACTCAGATAGCCAGTGTTTCCAGAAAAAAATGAGGCCCTGAAACCAGTCGATTCCCCTATTTATATTTAAAAGAACAAATAGATCTCTCTCCACTTGCAGGAAATCTCTGGAATGTTCACTTGATTCTTCATCTGATTACACTGAAAACTTGTTCCAGTTAGAAACAACTGGAACAACTGTTCTTAGAAAGTGCTGATAAGAGAAGCATCCAGTAGCTGCCTGAGATTATGAGTTTCAGTAGAGTATGTGGGCCACCAAAAATGACAAGAATAGCAAAGATACTTTGGGGAGCCTGGAGTAGAAGAGCTGCAGTTCTTGAGAGATAATACTGTCAGAGGAACACTTAAGAAAGGAGTATATCCTCCTGGGATACCAAATTATTCCGTTACTTGTTTGTCTCTTGTTTTTTCTACCCCCTCACCAGCATTTCATACCCACTGCCACACCAAAAAGGCTGGCATAAAATAAGATGATAACAGCAATAGCAAAATGAAAGTTTTCAAAGAAAGAAAATATCTGAAAAAAGCTAGCTCAGCACTGTCCAAGAGCTCCTTGTCGGGAGGTACTGTCTGTCAAAAGTCAAATAGTTGCAATTCAATAGCCGATACTTTGAGGATGGTGTGTTCTGTTCACTGTACAGTAATTTTTTTTTATTTCAGTCTCACAGATTTTTGAGAGCAGTACTGAGAGCTTCATTCCCACAAGGAGCTATGGAACAGGTAAAACACACGACTTGAATCTCCTCTCCACTCTTTACATAGGTTATTACCTGAATTCTCATAGATTTTTCTCATAACTTTCTTTCCTATGGAACATATATTTTTGCTTAAAAGGTCCATAAAGGCCTTCTAGTTCATTTCCTTCATGTTGTCAATAGGGAAACAGTCTAGAATGAGTGGAATTTCTTCTTGGCTTGAAAACATTTTCTATCAATATAATGTTATAAAGAAGCTCATATCCCAATCATTTTATGACTCAGTTCCAGGGTTCACATTCCAAACAACTAATCCCACACTTTTTCATTTCTTTTCCTTCTTCCTCTCATCTTTTCAGCCTGCCCCCCACAGTGGCAGAACTTCAATCAAAAAAGATGTTTCTTCTTGTCCACCTCTGAATCAACCTGGAGCAACAGCAGGGATGATTGTATCAAAAAAAGATCAACTTTGGCAATTGTCAACACACCAGAGAAACTGGTGAGAGAATTGGGAATGGTACAGTAAAGCATCACACCCTACACCAGCCTCCGTGGGTGGAAATGGTAGGGCAGCGTGGTGGAGTGGGGCGTGGGTAGGGAGGAGTGGAGAGGTGGCTGGCTGAGTTCATCTCCTTGTTCTGACCCTGAGGTTTAGAGACTTCTTAATATCACTGGGGCATGTTGTTAAGCTTCTGTGATCTAGATATCCAGTCTGTAAAGTCTTCCCCACAAGGCACAGCAGCAGGTTAGGCCACAACCTTCAAAGTGCAGGAAATTACCAAAGAGCTGATGTGTGTAAGAGTTGTTTTAAAATTACAGCATACAGATATAATATATCAATGTAGCATCTCAACGTACATAGTAAAAAAGGAAGATGTGAATTAACACAATCAGTAATATGAAAAACAAAGAATCAGATCATATGGTTTTCAGTTTATATTCATGATAATAAAAATAGATCACATTATGCAAAAAAGCTTAATTATTTTCTTTTATCTCATAATAATCCTGAGGGTATATTATTACCATATTTTTTAAATGAGTTAATTATGGCACAAAAATAGTTTAACCATGTTTATACACATAAATGACAGAACACAGAATTGAATTCAGATGACTTTGACTCCAGAAACTATGTTGTAATCAATTTTAGACCATACTTCATTTTAGTTAATGGTTACCTCTCCTTCAAATCTAAGCATTGCAGAGCACCCTGCACTCAGGGTTGTTTAAGCAGTGGGGAATACCAAGGATGGAACTTCTTATGCACCAAAATTTAAGTAGAGGAAAGGGGTACTGTGCTACATACATACACTATTCTTGTTTCTCTCCCTTTTGTATCCTCACTCTTCCTGTAAAGAAAAGTATTCCTGTGATTGAGAAGAATTTGTAAAGGAAACTTCTCTGAAATTTGTCAACAGATGTCTAACAAAGGGCAGGGATCAAGATGCTATAGATTCTTTAGGTCTAAATACCAAGTGAGAAGAAAATATGCCCTAAGAAAGAAAACCAGGAGTAAGAAAGAGAGGAGAAAACAGGAAAGAAAATGAGAGAGGAAGAGGTGAATAAGACAAGTTGGTGGCATCGTTTTCTCTACTAATCCCTTCAGTTTCAATGCCCCCATCTCCCATTGGTGACATTTTCCACCACTTATACTCCATGCTAACCCCAGAAGAAGCTCATCACATTAATAGTTTGCTGATGAATCTCAAGTCAACATATTTTGTTATTATTTGACTCAACCTCATTTGTAATATAAAATTTCTGGAAATGAAAGCAATTCTATACAGTGAGGCATGATAAGTTTTTAGTTGTATTTCAAACTACCTGGTCTTGACCAAACAGTCCCCCTTCTCTATTTCTTCAGTCTAGTTTCAAAGAGAAAAATCAGTATCACCTGGGCACTTGATAGGAATGTAAATTCTTCATTCCTTATACCAGATCTTCTCGACTAAAAGCCTAGCAATTTGTGTTTCAGAAAGACCTCCAGATGATCTTGATGCTTGCAAAGGTTATGAAGTTCTTCTCTAAGGTTAATGGCAAGTGCCAGTGAGAGCCAGTTTCCAACCTCTAGCAGCTTTCCTTGTTCACAATCAAGTAAAATTATGGGCTCATTGGCTCAAGTACAGCAATAAAGGACTCATTGTTGAACTGTTTATTTATTGTTTTAATTCCTAGAAATATCTCCAAGACAAAACTCATACTGAGAAGTATTTTATTGGCTTAATGTATCAGCCTGCAGAGAATAAATGGCGCTGGATCAACAACTCTGTGTTCAATGGCAAGTACGTGAGCATCTTACATTTTTCTGCAGATCCTGGTTTGCTTCAAAAGACTAAACCAGAGATTCATGCTGGAAGAGCTCAGAAGCTAAGACTTGACCTTGTTCTAATCTCCTTTCTTCCAAGCTGTCTATTCTCAGAGAAATATTTCTTATAAGCATTTTATTAGGGAAAATATCAAACTTTTTCCACTTTAAAAAGTAGGAGAGATAAAACATTCATAGAACACATTATTTTACACAAAGACCCAAACAAATCCACACATAGATTTTTTGCTGTAACTCATAGGTCTCTTTTAAACTATTGATCACATTTTCTTCTAAGTGCCTACAAGTTTGCCCAGATATAGCTCTTTTATGAAAGGAAAGGTTTTTACTTTTTAAAAAATTGTCTGTACTTTAAAGCTGTGAACTGCTAATTTTCAATATCTATCTCCAATGACTCATTCCATGGAGTAAACTTTGGTAGCGAACATAATATTCCCAGTGTTCATATAAAAATGCGAAGTCCAACAGGGAGCAATTCAGGTTCCCAGCCTGCCACTAGATTTCTCTACAGAGAGGAAATGATTAATATTCAATTTCTACTAAACACCAGACACTATGCTTTACACATATTATTTCCTGCAATCTTCACATGATATACACAAGCCTTTTATTACTTCCTACTAAACAGCTGAATCCAGAACAAGAAAGGCTTAGAAATATGTTGAAATTCATGTAGTTACAAAGTGGTAGAGCCACAGTTTGATCCTATATTCACTTGAGCTAAAAACTTATGACTTTTCCATGAAATTACAACTCTTTGCATTAAAAAGGACCAAATGACAGAAAAAGAGATAGGAAAAGCCAACAGACATGTTTACTAAGATTTTCCTATGGACAAACTGCTGACATCAAAGAAAAAATGAGAAATCTCTGTCCTCCTTTCAGTTCTGCTACAAATTTATATACAGTACTAAAACATTATTGCTTGAGGGAAAAGGGAAAACTCAAGAGATGTTTTTGACCAAAGATAGGAGTGAGTTAGTTAAGATTCTGGGAATCTCTGAACACTCTCTGAAGAACTGACAGGGAAAGGTAAATGTAGAGCTGAATTTGGGGAATCTGGGTTTAGAAGAGGGGGGCTGAGTTAGAATAGAAGGCATGACGCAGAGGAAGAGTGTATCCATACAGTCCACCTACTAGTTATGAGACTCTCACTGAGATCAGCAAAAGGCAGAAGGGAAATGAGCCATAATCACATTTTCTTTTCTCATTTAGTGTCACCAACAAGAATGAAAACTTCAACTGTGTTACTATAGGCTTGTCAACAACATTTGATGCTGCATCATGTGAAGTCCCCTACCGCTGGATCTGTGAGATGATTCCCAGATGATCACAATCCTCTTTGACAAGAACGAATATACTTACAGAGATAGCAAAAGAGAATAGTTACAATTGAGACTGGTCCAGGAAATACAGAGCATCAAATCACTTTGCCAGCCTTCTACAGGTTACTGGCAGAGCTCCCTAATGAATCTTCAGGGCTAATGCACCTCAGGGCTAAAAGTCTAATACCCTTTAACTAGTAGACTTATACACACAACACCAGGAAAACCTCCCAGTTCTGAGCCAGCTGTTACCCTGGACAGCATTTCCTGAGAGTTGAAACTGACTCTGAGGATCCTCACGGTTCATCTATCCTGTGATTCTTATTATCTGTCCACCAGGTGAGGTGAATAAATAGGAGGGGGATGAACTCAGCTTCTGCAGTCTTATCTCTGTTCACCAGAGAGCCCAATTCACATGTCTGCCCCTGACAGCTAAGAAAACAGATGTTCTCAGTCTACACTGGGGTCAAGACTTGGGGGCATCGGTAGCCCTAGAACTAACTGAAAAGAACACTGCTGAACTAACTGAAAAGAACATTGCTGGAGAAGGGTGCAGACAGGACAGGAATCTACTCAGAGATCCCTCTGAAGAGAACTAGACAGTCAAGGGGGCTACGCAAGCCAGATCTCTGTTCTTCAACAAAGCCTGATGAGACACTAAAGCTAAAACTTTTCTTGTCCCTGTTATGAAGCTCCATTATAGCATACATAACTCATTTGTAACCAAAATTTAGGAGGGCAGATTTTTTTCCATGTGTAGGTTTTGATTACCTAACAGTACTTGTTGAGAAAATTTTAAGAATTGAGGATAGTCTTTTATACTTCAATGGTCACAAAATACTCTTTCATTCAGTGCTAGAGAAGCTGTTACAATAGGCACTGACCCAAAGAATCCTTGGCATTAGTTGGCATCATACTGGGCTATCTCTGGTCCAGCTGGGTGGAGACAAGGAGTGGGCACAGAAAAGAAAGGACAATGGGAAAAAGGAAATCATATAAGAAATGGAGTTCATTTGGTCATAATGGAAAAAACAAAATAAAGTAGCAAAATTCTTGGGACACCTTGGCTCTTTTCTGCACTGACAAGAAGACATTAACTACACATACACCTCACAATACAAAAACTAGAAAAAGATGTTCCTTGTATGTCTTGAGTAACAAGAGTTAAACCATAAGAATGACTATATAAAACTAATGGAAATTAAAGTCACCTAAGTAATCTGCTTATCATTTCTATCATTACCAATGTACTACAGTAATGACTGTGTAATCATTAGTCAAAATAAATTGCAGTAAAATATCTTTTATTAGAAGACTAAGTTCTCTTTCTATATTCCTAGATTTCATCATTTTGGGTTCATCAACACAGCCATTTACAATTTTTAAAAAAAGATAATTCACTAGGTGTTAGAACTTGCTTGAAGGAGGTTACCAGAAATAATCTGTTTTGGGGATGGGATGGATATTGAAACTGTATTAACATCCTGGGGAGATATAAGTTCCCAGAATGTGTTAATAAGCATGTGCCATGGTTGAGGGAGGAGAGACCGAGTCTATGGTAGATAAAAGAACCAACCAAATTCTAGATAGAGATAAGCCCCACAACTCAGGCAACAGAGAAGAAATCATAATCCTTCTGTTTTGAAAAAAGAAAATCATAATTACCACATTTCCTATTTTATAACTGAATAACTGTAGACTTTTAAGGTCAGGAAATGTTGACATCTAGCAATTTCCTAAGTGAAGCCCAAACTTAGCCCAAGATGAGAAGGTAGCCCAGTTTTTAAAGAAACCCAGTAGGATAGGGTAGTGGTAAAGAGATTCAAGCAATACGTGGACTTTGGTTTACTTTCATTATCAGGAATGGGTCTCAGGATCCTTAGAAATGCAGAAAACCGTGTCCTTTATTAAATAATAATGATATGATAAAATGGAAATTTATAAAGCATTGGGTTGGAGTTTAGATTTTGCTCCTAATAAATACATAGCTTTCTCACTCTATCTTTTGTTTTAGTTTTCTTACCTATAAAATTTGACAGTGATATCCTTCTCACAAAATTATTTTTTTCTCACAAAATTCTTACACATATTAAATAAGATCCCTTCCAGATATCTCAATGTTATAAGCATTAGAAGAAGTATTCTATGGGGGATTTGAAGTTGAGATCCTTATCCAACAAGTAACACTTCAATTTGCTAGAAGATGAATTTAGTCAAGTTGCTTAATTTCTCAGAATTTATTTACTCACTTTTAATATGGAAATAAAAATCACCCAAGTCAGAGAAGGGCACTGTGGAAATTGCATGGCCAAGTCACATGAAGATCAAAATCACACTTTCCCTGGCTATAAATGTGGGCCCAGACTACGTTGGGGAGCCCCATCTAATCCTTAGACTAGTCAACAAATGCACCTGGGATTGGCAAGACCACAGCTGAGCCCAGCCTGGGTCTAGTAGAATTCTAATGCATGAAATTAAAAGCTGTCATATGCCAGTGGGGTTTTGTGGTTGTCTTTTATGTAGTAAAAGGTAACTGACACCATCTCCTACCCCCTCACACACATTTTCTGGTCCTTCCCTTCTATGTTCACTCTATTCCAGCTCTTTGCCTATGCTTCCCCTAGAATCACTGCACTTATTACTCACTGGGCATGGAATGCTCTTTAAAACATACTTATATGCCTCGCTATTTTGTATCTCATGAGCTTTCCCTGATGATTTTATTTAAAATTTCAAAACTCCCCCAAATGATTCTCCCCTTCATAACTATTTCACATTATTTTACATAACACTTTTCTACCATTTAATATAGTATATCTGATATTAACAGCTTTTTTGTGGTATATGTGGCATTCCATAAAATTCACTTGTTTAACATGCATGATTCAATGGGTTTTGGTGTATTCACAGTTATTGGTAATTATCACTTCCCATAGCTATTGCTACCCTATCCTTGCATTCCTCTCAGCTCTAAGCATCTCCTAGTCTGTTTCTATCTTTATAAACTTCCATATAAATAGAATCATATATTATGTGGCCTGTATAATCTAATTTCTTATACTCTGGATAAGGTTTCCATGTTGTAGCATGTGTTTGTGTTTGGATTTTGAGCCCCTACCCCCAAAACTCCAGGTGCTTAAAAAGGCATGGTCCCTTGAATGGTGATATATGGAGGTATTTTTAAGAGATAGAACCTAACAGACACAAGTGCTCATCAACTGGAGACTGGATAAAGAAGATGTGTTTTTTTAATGGAGTAAAGAATGAAAAAACTAGAGACATTTATAGCTAAACTGATGCACATTGAGGCCATACTGCTAAGTGAAATATAATACAAATGTGTGAATACCAAATAGTTCCCCTAGTGTAAGAAACTAAAAGTGTAAATAAGGATCAAAATGTATAATTGATTATATGAAATAGGAAGAAAAGGTCTAAAGGGGTAGGAGAAGTGGGAGAGGGAGGGGAAAGGAAAGAAGGGAAAAAATGGAAACAAAGTCTTTATAAATAAGGAAGGGTTGAAGGGGTTGGAGGGAGGGTAGGGGAATGGGGAAAAAATAAGAACCAAGATACATCATGTAAAGGTACACGATACCAGCAATGAATGTAATTTATTATATACCTAAAATGTACCAATAAACAGTGAAAAAAAAAAGAGGCAGGACCTAATAGGAAGTCTTCAAGTTACTGGGGGTGAGCCCTTGAAGGGGATTATGGAAGCCCAGCCACTCTTTTCTTTTGTTTCCTGGCAATGAAATGAGTAACTTTGCTACACTACACACTTGCACCATGATGTACTGCCTCAGCACAGTCCTGAAAGCAGAAGGACCAACTGATAATGAACTGAAACCTCTGAAATTGTTGTGTGTTTATTCATTCATCAGCTAATAGGCATTAGCTGATAGGGTGATAGGCTGAGTGGTTTCTAGCTTTTGGCTATTCTGAATAATGTTACTATAAACATTCATGCTAAAGTTTCAGGGGGTATATGTTTTCATTTCTCTCAGATATATATGTAGGAGTGTAATTGCTGGGTCATATAGTAATGCTATAATAAACTGAGGTACTGTAAATAATGTAAAGTAAGGTTCTAAGGTTCTAGTGTAAAGTAAGTTTCCAAATACATCCTCCTGCATATAGATATCCAAGTATTGAGATTTAAAAGACATGAATGAAACTAATGTTCTACCTAATTGTTTTCCTTCCTTTAATTATAAGCGTGTATTTAGGACATGAAAGCAATAGCATGCTTGGCCTCATCAGTTGCTTTGGCCAGCAAAATCTGACCACTATTTATCATACTCTTTGCCTACTATCTCAAAGCCAGCCAACTCATAGTGAAAAGCCACTCCCATTACCCTGGCCTATGAAGACGACAATAAGGAGCAAAGGGGCAACTGACCCATTTTTGACAAATAATGGGAGCAAAAATACACATGCAAACTTCAAAGATAGTCTGTTACTAAGATATAACCTAGATTACCCCAACAGATACAAGAATTAGTAGCAAATAATTCCCATAAAAATATGCAATTAGTATTTCATGATTGGATATTTGAGACAATGGTTAAGAGATGAACTCTAGGGCCAGGCTTACTAGGTTTAAATCTGGAGCTTCTATATATTAACAATGTGATCTTAGGTGAATCAGCTGCCAACTGTACCTCACAGATCCTTGGGTAATAATAGGAATAAGGAGTTGTCTTACTGTTTAAATGAATTCCAATAAAAAATTAGTGCCAGATTTAAGGATTGCTTTTTAGCTTTGATCCTATACAAGGCCAAGGAGGGATGAGGTATTACTCCATTAGGCAATATATTCCGTAAGAATAAGAATAAAGTGAATGACAAAGGATGTGAAGCCAAGAAATAAACTCGAGAAACCAAAAATAGATTGCACTGGAAAGCTTGATGCCCCTGAATACAGCTAATTACTTGATCTTTGGGTCTACTCACCTTAGAAGATGTTTAAACTGTCTTAGGACTGTCCCTCTGAGGAAAAATGGGGAAATTTTATCTACTGATTTCGATTTTCATTGGTCAAATTCATCCAACAGGCAGTAACTTCCCAGAACTTCTGGAGTGTCTATGCATGGACATAGATGCCAAATGAAGCTCTCTTCAGTCGATCAACAGGGAAATTCTAGGGCCAGATGTAAGAGCTTCTCCTGACAGACTTAACAGGAAATATTACTTACTAATATCATTCTAACGTTAGCACTGTAAAAGAAAATAAATATTTCTATAATGGACTAGGAACAGTATGGAGAATTCTCAGTACAGAAGGAAGCTATTGCCCCAAGAATTGGGGATATGAGTTTCTCCAATTTCTGACCACGGTGGCTCAGTGCTTTGGAATGTGGAATAATGATGGTTAGTTCTCTCTGACACTTGGTACCTAGGACACAGATAAGATAGGTACTGTGTGTCAGGGCATAATACCTTCGAATGCACAGCCTCTTCTTTTTGGCTGAGAGTGGTATTTTTGCCGTTTCAGTATCCTAACCTAGGCCTTACATGAAGCAAAATATATAATCTCATATTCATGTACCTCCATCTCCTAATATTCTTCATGAACTCCCAAGTTTTCTTTTTCTTTTGGTACCAGGGATCAAACACAGGACCTTGTGCTTGCAAGGCAGGTGGCGGAACCACTGAACTAAATCCCTGGCAGCTCCCAGTTTCTATATTAAGCTATGCAAAGATTTCCCAAAATATTCTAATTTTGTAACAGGCTCCACTTACCAAATATTTCCCCATCTGGAGAAACATATGCGTGCAATTTAATAGGTCTTCCTAGGTCTTTAAAAGGTATGGGTGGCTGAATGAATGCATCCTTTAAGAAACATAAGAGAAATATAATTGTTTTATCTTTGTATAGGAAGTACATACACATGGTTACAAAATTAAAAAGAATGTTAACGACAATTAAAAAGTCTAACTTCCTCATGCTACCTTCCTATTCCAACAGTCCCATGGAAACCAGTTATTACTTTCGTATAAGGTCTTCTATAAGCAAACAAAGTGAATATGAAGTTAATTTCTATTCCTTTTTTACACAAAAGGTTGAATACTAAATTTGGTACACTTTTTCCCCCCTCATTTAACTGTACACCTTGGAGACCATTTGTAATCACTGCCGAAAGAATTTCATTCTTTTACAGCTGGCTTAAATTCCTTGGTATTTTCAACATTATTCAAGCAGT